TTTAAAAGGCAGGATTTCTCTATGTAGCTCAGGCTGGCCTTCATTTTGCAGGGGTCTTCCTACCTCCACACCCAGCTCTTTCTAGATTCTACAGAACATTTTGGAATGCTGGTTTGGTGGTCATGAATTTCTTCAGCTGTTTTTTTTTTTTTTTGGTACCAGGGATCCAACTTGGGTCCTTGCACCTGAGAGGCAGGCAGTGGAACCACTGCGCTAAACCCCTGGCCCCTTCGGCTATTGTCATGGAAGTATCTTAATTTTTCATCAATTTTGAAAGATAGTTTTGTGAGGCACATCAATCTGGTTTCTAGGTTTTTTTTTAATCCTCATTGAGTTTATTGGTACTTTTTAGGTATACAGTACAGTTACATTCATCATTGTGTAGGTTGTTTTATTTTGGGGCTTCAAATACTTACTTCAAACTCTCCTTGACCTGAGGGTTTGTGGTGAGAAGTGTGCTAATGATTCTTATAGGCTTTCCTTCATAGATGATTTGTTTCTTTTCTCCAATCGTTTTTAATATTCTGTTTTTGTGTTGAATTTATGGAATCTTGACTGTTATATACCTTGGTATGGATTTTTTTCTGATCATGGGTAACTGAGTTCTATATGCCTCACTTATCTGTATGTCAGATTTTCTTTCCATGCTTATGTTGTTTGCACTATCCTTTTTTACTGACTTTGATCAATCTTATGTTATTGTTCTTTACATCATCTAGCCACTCTATTTTGCTTAAACTTTTCAATTTTTAATTTTATGTACAAAGAGTTAACATGGTCTCTTTCATTGAGTGGATGGTCTTGGATAATCCATCGAAGAAAGATCACTTAGTCCAACTTGAAGCCAATATCCTTCATGTACTGACAGAAACACAGGATGCATATGTGCAGCTTATGTTTCTGGATCAGACCATGTTTGTTTGAGCAGATGCAGCAAGAGTAAAAGCCCTGGCCAAATTTCCTTGGGTGGCTCCAGTAGAGCTGCTGGTGACCCATGCTTCTACAGGTACAACGAGGAAAGAGGAAGGAGCTTCCACACAGATGACCTACTCAAATTTTCCTGAAACATGGTTTTATACAGAATCCCGTACTGAAAGATGACACATGTGCACTGAGGCAATGTTCCTCTCTCACTCTAAATCCCTAGTGTACCTTCAGGAGAAATCCCAACTATTCATCACATAGACATCCAAATTTCCTACGACCAGGGATGTAGCTCAGAAATAGAGCACCTCCTTGGCACTGGGTTTGATCACTAGCACTATAATACAAATACTATATTCCATATACAGGAACAAACTGCAGCATGATTGTGAAGTTGTAGAATTAAATTCTTTCTCACAATGCATTTTCCTATTATGCAAAGATTATTTTCCTTCTGGTGCTAGAGATCAAACCCAGGGGCTTGCACTGTGCTACATCCTCTGACTAGTTTTGTATTTAACTTTACTATCGTTGTACTTACATATATAACTTTTAATAAAAGAAGAATTAATTTGTTTATTCATTTTTTAAAAATTACCACATAGCTGGGTGTGGTGTTCCATGCCTGGAATCCCAGCACTTGGGAGGCTGAGGCAGGAGGACTGCCATGAGTGTGAGGCTAGCTAGCTTGGGCTACATAGTGAGTTAAAGACCAGCCTGAACTACATAGTAAGACCTGGTCTCAAAAAACGAAACAACAAACAATAACAATAATTTACCACACAATGCTAAGAAATGCAACTGCTGTGATCAGAATTGATTTTGCATACAAGAAGTAGCTAAACAATATTAATCAAAAATTAAAAAGAAGCAGGCATCCCAGGGCCGGGGATTTAGCTCAGTGGTTCCGCCGCCCGCCTCGCAAGCACAAGGACCCGAGTTTGCTCCCCGGTACCAAAAAAACAAAAAACAAATAAGTAGGCATTCTGAACTATTAACAGACTCCCATTCTGACTTCTTTTATTAGCAGTAGTGAGAAATTTATAATGATCCATCCATAGTCTCTTCCTTGATCCTTTGGGCTATGCAAACTGATCCAGATGGTTACGTCTGAAGATGTAACAAATGAAAACAAATTGACCCATGAAAGAGTGAAGCTAACATCTCACATTAATAAACTATCTCCAATCACCAGTAGCCACTGTTAAAAGGGAGGCTTGCTGCTGCTACTTTTTTCTCCCTACCTTGCCAAGGACTGTTTCTCCTCTGCCATGCCACCCTGCCTTGAAGCCAGTGACTATGGACTGAAACCTCTATAAGCTGTGAGCTGAAATAAACCTTTCCTCCTTTAACTTGTGAGTGTTGGGTATTCTGTCTCAGCAATGAGGAAGTAACTAAGATAGTTGGAGGGTGTGACAGGTCAGTTTTAAGGTGTAATATTAAGATTCTGGACCTATGTTTTTTTTTTTCTTTTTGGTACCGGGGATCAAACTCATGTCCTTGTGCTTGTGAGGCAGGTGGTGGAACCACTGAGCTACATCCCTGGCCACTGGACCTATGTTTTTATCTAGCAGAGCTCTCTTCATATATTTCTTATACACTGTCCAGTTAGCATGAGCCCTGCCTCTGCCAAGAGAAGTCTGTAAAGACTTCTGTAAGAGAAGTCTATACCAGGTAAACAGGAAAAAATGGCTTACTTAGCATTACCAATTTAACATTTAAATTGGCATTTTATTTCTCAAGGTACAAACTGCTTTGTTTAGCTTTTGGGGTGTGTGTGTGTGTGTGTGTGTGTGTGTGTGTGTGTGTGTGGTACAAGGGATTTAAATTGGCATTTTATTTCTCAAGGTACAAACTGCTTTGTTTAGCTTTTGGGGTGTGTGTGTGTGTGTGTGTGTGTGTGTGTGTGTGTGTGTGGTACAAGGGATCAAATCCAGGGATGCTCTACTACTAAACTATATCCCTAGCCTCCCTACTTTTTAAACATTTTTGAGATAAGGTATCATTAAGCTACTGAGGCAGACTCAGGCTTGGCTCCTTCTGCCTTAGCCTCCTGTATAGCTGGGATTACAAAAGCATCCTTCCTGCTTGACTTAATAAAAAAACAACTGTGTGGGTTTTATTTGGGGTTTATCAGTTCTACTGGGTTTTCATTCTCTTACTTTTTAGTACTGGGGATAGAACTCAGGGCTGTGCACTTGTGAGGCAGACGTGATGCCACTGAGCTAAATTTCCAACGCTTCTTCTCTTATTTGACAATGTTTTAGGAGATTTTTTAAAAAAAAACTGTATTCAACTTCTCTTCTTCTTCTTCATTTTTTTTTTTTTTTTTTAGTATTGGGGATCAAACTTGGGACCTTGCACTTGCAAAGCAGGCGGCGGAAACACTGAGCTAAATTCCGGCCCTCTCTTCAAATGTTTTGTATAAGGGAAAGTACAGCCAAAGATAACAACAATGACACCCTGCCAACAAACAAAACCCTACTACGCTAACTTGGCAGTATACACCTGTAATCCTAGGGCTCCAGAGGTTGAGGCAGAAGCCTTGGATACACAGTGAGTTCAAGGCCAGCCTGAACTACTACAGTCTCACAAAACAAAACAACAAACAAAACAAAAAGAGCTCTTCTACTAAGCTACAGTCTTAGTCTAAGACAAGATTATGATTTATGGCAAATTTTTTGTTAGCAGCACACATTGTATATACAGTGGCATCTCAGTTCATGAACTTAATTCATTCCATGATTCTAGAAAAGACAGCCACATTGAGGTTTGTGTGGGAAAGATGGCTGTGGTCATGTTACCTGATGCAGAGTTTGCAAACCAAACAAAATTTTTCCATACGCTTCTATTTTCAAACCAAATTATTCAGAGAAATGAATTGTATTCACAAACTGAGGTAGCATTTTGTATTTTGGTGCCTACAGCAATCAAAGGCACTTTTTTTTTTGGTACCAGATCCAACTCAGGTCCTCGTGCTTGCAAGGCAGGTGGTGTAACCACCGAGCTAAATCCCCAGCCCCCAAAAGTGCTTTTTAAAAATTACAAAATTGTAATTTTCTATAAGATGAAGGATGGACACTATATGCTCAATGATATCTATAAAAAATATAATTCTAAATGTATTATTTATAAAATTAAATAAAAAGAAAATATTAAACGTATTATATTTAAGTTCTAGGAAGAAATAACTCCCTGGTTTCCAGGAACTGTAGCGAAGGTTTTCAACACTTAAAATCACGATTGGATTAAAGAAAATAAACATTTTCTAGAGGTTCTTCTTTCTTTTCTTTTTTTGAGACAGGGTATCACTATGCAGTTCAGGCTGGCCTCAAACACCGGGCAATCCTCTTGCCTCACTCTCCTGAGTGCTGTGATTACAGGTGTGCACCACCATGCCTGGCCGTAGATTCTTTTGTTTCTCAAAAGTATAAACTGGAAAATAAATAAATAAATAAATAAATAAACTGGAGCTAGTGTGGGAGCCCGCTGGCATTTGACATTGGAAAAGTAACTTCTTAATCTATGACTCTATTTGGCTTATCTGAGACAAGGGTCTCAACTAGCAGATGAGATTGACCTGGAACTCACTGTGTAATCCAGACTGGTTTTATGGGATTACAGGCGTGTACCACCATGCCCGGCTCAAGGACTTTGTTAAATTTGACCTTGTGATGGGAGGAACTCAGATAGCCAAAGATCTGATTTCCTCCCTAATAGTTGCTTGGTGCTTCCTGTTGGCATGCCTTTAAAAGGAGCTGTTTCTGTGAAATAAATCGGACCTCTTGTCTCCACATTATTGAGTGTGCTGTCCTTTCTCAATCCTCACTCCCCAACTCAGGTACGTTCGTGTTGTGACAGCTGGGCCGCCACAAGCTAGGTGTGGTAGCGTACATGTATAGTCCCAGCACTCTGGCAGGCTAGGCAGAAAGACTGCAAGTTTGAGTCCTGTGTAGGAAATCTATAGGCTTAGTGAGATCATATCTCAAGTTAAAAAAGAAAGTATAAACTCTTCCTATAATTATTTATTAGTTAATTAAAAAATTATGCAATAAGAAAGTTCTCTGAGGAGAAGAAACATGGTGCTATAAAACCCAGAAGCATATCACAGTCTCTCCAGGACTTGACTCATGTCACCTGGAAAAGAACAACTCAGCAAAAAGAAAAGGAAGACAAAGCCAGGTGTGGTGGTACACACCTGTAATCCCAGCACTTGGGGAAGTAAAGGCAGGAGGACTGCCATGAGCTTGAGGCCAGCCAGCTATACAGTGTGATCCTGTCTCGAAAAACCAAAAAGCAGGAGAAAACAAACAAACAAACAAAAAAACCCAAAAAAACTTCAGGAACTAATGAAGAGCTGACAAGAAAACTAAAAATCACAGAGAAACTGCATACAGTGAAAATAACTCAAGGAAACTGTTCAAACAGGAATTTTTTTGACCTATACCTTTTTCTTCTTCTTCTTCTTCTTCTTCTTTTTTTTTTTTTTTTTTTTTT